AGAATTATCTGACACAGGCCAGTTTTAAAATTAATTTAACCAGTATTAGTTAGTATAATATATATAAGTTTGTAACATATTTATTGATAACTCCATTGATTTTTCCATCGTGACAAAAATTGATAGAATTTAATCAATGCAAATTATAAGTACATTCTCCTACAGTATCAATAAGCCGTCGGAGAATAAATTGAGTTTAAAGTTTTGAAAAATTTTGCAGATTGGTTAGCATGAATTTGACGGCAAGTTTTAAATTATTCAAATGGGCTAATTGAGTTACTATATTTAGTTAAGCCTCTTTTAAACAATTCAATATGAAATTTAATTTACATTTTTTGTATTATTTATTCATTTTTAACATATTGTTTTTGTAATAAATTAGTGAAAAATTAGATAAAAGATTTAGATATTTCACAGCTTTTTGTAGAAATATTGATATCAAATTTAAAGTAAAAAATATGTTTGAAATAAAAGTTATTGACTCATCAATCTTTTTGATTGAAATCGCATAAATTTTGTTTTGTTTTGTTTGTGATACTCGAAATTCGAAATATAGGAATAATAGAAATTGACTAAGAGATTATTTCTTTTGAATTATACAATTTCTATTAAATAAGTTATCTCACCACTCCTATCGATCATGTGATTCATGCATCGTGTAAGTTACCATTACACAAACCCGATCCTGATCCTGACATGTTACTGCATCAAATTAAAATTTATGAATCTTATGGGTCGATTCTCATCTCTTCTTAACGTTGGCAGAGATAAAGTCTCATGATCAATATTTCTGTATAATACCGCATAAAAATTTTAATTGGTAATGCTTATCGATATATAAGATAATGAATTGTATAGTAACACTTATTAAGCTGATGAAAAACTTATTTTTGTTGGATTTATTAGGTTAAATTAATAAATTAAAAATCAAATAAATCAGGATTGGATTTTTTTTCTCATGTATCTATCTGCTTACAAAACAACTAAAAAACTTGGAATTTCGTCTGATACTTTGAGACGTTGGTTAAAACAAGGAAAGATATTTGCGAAGACGTCTCCATCTGGGACTCGTCTCTATAATATTTCTTCTTTTTTTTCAGAATTGATTACTCAAAATGATACCTCAACCACCTTCGTTACCAAAAAGAAAGATTTCTTGTATGTACGTGTCTCAAGTAACAAACAGAAAGAAGACCTTGAAAGGCAAAAGCACCCCAATTACAAACTCATTAGTGATATCGGGTCAGGCATTAATTTCAAAAGAAATGGTCTTAAAACCTTATTGGAACGATCAAGTAAAGGAATGGTCTCAGAAGTTGTGGTTACCCACAGAGACAGATTATGCAGATTCATGTATAAACTTATCGAGTATATTTTCTTATTACATTCTACAAAACTCATAGTTTTCTTCAACGAGTCAAATTCTGATGAACATGAATTATCCCAAGATATCCTTGCTATCAATACTGTATTCATTTGTAGAATGCAAGGACAGAGAGCCACAAGATACAGAAAAGAAAGGAAAAAGAAAAAAAATGATAATTGTTCGAAAAACAAAGAAACAGAAACTCGAGACGAGCTTGAACAGAACATTGTCGATCAAGACATATCCGAATCATTTACAGAAAAAAATTTTAAAGAGATGGCTTGGATTGACAAGATTCACTTATAATTCAGTCGTAAGATGGAATATGAAGAGATGTTTCTTCAATACTAACAAATGAAAAGAATGGATAAAACTTTAGATGTTAAAAGACAAGTTAGAACTTTGTTTAGACATTAAGGATAAAAAATTTTGCAAAACATGTGTGTGGGGTGAACGAAAATTTATTAAGAATATGATATAGTTAGATCTTTGACTAAAAAATCTACATGACAAAGTTCCTATGAACATTATAGATAAAAGCATCGACGAAGCTCTAACTGCTAGAATGAACATAATACAAAACAAACTGAAAGACATCAAAAAGTCTTCCTTGTCATTCAAATCAAAAAAAGATCTAAGGCAAACAATGAGTATTCGTGCTCAGAATTTTTCAAAAAAAGATTTGAATCACTTCTACATATCTTACCTTCACAATTACAATTCTCTGAAACACAAATGTCACAAACCTAATGATATCGTAATTAACAAATGAGATCTGAGACCTTTCCATTCAGAGAAAAAAAGAAGAAACAATAATTGGCCTCCCGTTAAAATAGATTGTGATTGTAAACTCACTTACTTACATAAAACGAATGAATAGATCTTTCATTAGGTTCATGAGAAACAAGCACGAATTTGTGAAACACAAGATGTAATTCATGCTGTCTCGATAGATCCTGGTATCAGAACCCTATTTACCTGGTATTCTTCTACAAAAGGTGCTGGAAGATTGGTAATCATGACATAGGTCAAATATATAGATTATGCAAATACATAGATGACCTCATTTCGAGAAAAGATAAATTATCTGATTCTAAATCTAAATGTAAGAAAAAGAAAGCTTCTCATTTGGACAAGGCCATGCATAGAATGAGAAGAAAAATCTATAGATTACAAAACGAGATCCATAGAAAAATGATCAAATTCTTAATAGACGAATTTGACATCATCGTGATCCCACCTTTTGAAACATCAAACATAATTAACAGAAAGACCAGAAAGATAAACAAGAAAATGGTGAAAAAAATGTTAGGATGGTCTCATTACAAGTTTAAACAAAGATTGATCTTAAAATCCAAGAAAAAAGGTAACAAAGTGATTTTTCAAAATGAAGCTTACACTTCAAAAACGTGCAGTTGGTGTGGTAATATGCAAAATATCAGTGGGTCAAAAATATACAAATGCAAAAATTGTAACATTGAGATTGACAGAGACATAAACAGCGCCCGAGAGATACTCTTTCGGGCTTTGCTTAATGGAGCTATGATCTTGTCATAAGACATCTTCATGCAGGAAATAGTAACTTTACTTAGTAATACTTAGTATTGATTACTATTGATGTATTACAATCCATCCAGTAATATAATTTAAATAAGTGCATGCAATAATATATCTATTTTTAAAATTTTTATTAACACTTAGAGAGAATTGATTGTCACATAATTTAAATAAATATATATATCTTATTTTAAAATTTTATTAGAATAAATATTTTAAATTTGAAAAGAAAAACCGCTTTGCTATTATTGATTTAGCTCTGATCTAAGCTCTGATCTAATCGTGTCTACTATTTTATTTACATTATAAAATATGTTATTAATGTTGTGAGCTAACTGAAATGAATTCACTTTAGTATTAGCTTTTAAATCTTCTAAACTATTTGTGTTAAAGTAATTTTGAACTTGTTCCACATAATCTTCAAACTTGACTTGGTAATTAGCTTGAATAAATTTGTTCTAATTTGTCATAAGATTTTTATAATAAATTATAGTAAAATTTTTAACCTTAAGATCTATTGTGTTTTTTATATTAGGAATTTGGAGAAACATTTTGAACTGATCTTTTTCCTTTTCAATTTTATTCTTTGAATCATCAATTTCAACAATTCCTTGTTTATAGAATTCTGAAAGATCATTCTTATTAATATCCCAGTAATCACTGTAAAACTTTTGAAGTCCCATTTTTGAATTGTTTTGTAGTGATATAATAAGATTTGGTAACTTTATTGATTGTTCATATAGTGTCATTTGTTCGAAATTTTGAAATTTGCTATCAATGTACGAAATCTCATTGTTTAATCCAAGCGCCCTATACAATTCATTATCTATTTTATAAAAATTTGTTTTCAAAGAGTTATAGACTTTACTTACTTCGCTGCTTATTAACTGTATGAAATTTAAATATAAACTGAACGTTTGGCCATCATGATTATTAAGTGTTGAAGTAATTAAAGATTCTGTAAATATATTTAAATCAAGGTCCTCAGCCTATTTATTTAAGAAATCTTGAATTGGTTGACTGCACTTCTTTGTAATTTCTTTTAATTGAAAAAGATCTTCTTTAAATTCTTTTTCTTTTTCATTCTGAATCTATTCATTCATTTTTTCAAATAATTTCATAGCTGTGTCAAATTGTGTTAGGATTATGTTTTGAATTGTGAGGTCAAAAGAATTCCAGTGGCTTTGCAAAATAATTAATTGGTTAATTTCATCACTGGAAGCGTTTTTAACATGTCTTGAGCTCAAAGCATAAAGCTCTTCTTGTTTTCTTAATTCCTCTGCTTCGCTTTCTGGATTTGAAAATACCAACTCAGACATCTCAGAAACATTATCATCATTTTCATTTTCTAAAATGTAAGGTGGAGTATGATTGCTTTTATTTGATAAACTCAGACTCGGTAAACTCTGGAAAGGTAAACTTTGACTCAGTAAATTTTGTGAATTCTAGAAAGATGCCTAGAAAGGTGTATTTTGTCTACTTGGAATATTTTGTAAGGGAGGTGTACCCGATCTTTTTTAAAAAGCAGTATTTTGGAG